GCGACAACAGTCATTTAAAAGTTTCACTCATGCACTGTAGCCGGTTTCGCAGGTATGCATAATTAGTCATGAACTCATTAAAGTAGAATATTAATCAGGTAGATGGGAAAAAGTTGCCTGTGGTTTTGCCTAATTCTTTTTTCAGAAGTCAGCAGACTTCCTTATTCATCAGTTGATCTTTTCAACCTATACCCCAGAAGTATTTGCACTTAAAACTAATTTCGGTCTGTACCTAAATGTGATCACGAAACAATCTCTGTATCCGGCATTCAGAACGTTAATTGCCCCGTTTACTGCACGTTTAGGAAGCGCTTTTTAAGGTACATACGTCTTTCTACACTGCACAGTCAGAAGGAGTGGTACACGTAGAAATACTCACGACAGACTAACTTATGTCGTCCTCAGTTTTAATGTCTTTGTAATTCGGAAATAATCGAAGATAAACCCTAGTTCCAGTTTGTTTATTATTAGACAGCAGCTTTTTAATTACATGTAAGACGCCAACTAGTGTCCCGTGTTAGTTCCTCGAAATAGAAATTAGTGTTTATCAAGTTAGGCGGTTACGAAGTCGGGCAACTGTTGTTGTCTCCCCTATTCAGGAAGTGGCCGAATGCCATGACGTCCGCATGAGCCGGCGTTCTTCGTAACGCTAGTTCAGCAATCTAGATAAACCTAATATGAATCGTACCATTGAATGTCAAACATTTTGGGATGCACAAATGTTCCTCCTCAAAGACACCAAAAACCTGACAGTTTGCAGCACGCAATAATGTGCCTGTCTGCTTAATGTTCAAATCCCAAACAATCCCTTGCGAACTGAGGATTCTGCTACTAAACTCTATCATACTGGTCCTTGCAACTCCCGTGACGGGTGTAGTATAGCGATCGCCATCTCTGAGAAAACTATGCCAGCGCTGCTTGCTTCGGAACCAATTAATGTCTGATTAGCTTATATCAAAACAAAAAACTAATTTCTTAGAAAAAATGTCACCGTAAAAGAATTGTCTTGTTGCTAACAGTTCGGAAAGCTTGATGGACTGTTCATTTTCGAAGCATTACATACCAAAAATCGACTAGAATTCCAAATGACCGACCAAGCTAGTCGGTCTTGATATAATCGATTTTTACTCAAGTTCCTCAATCTCGGGCGTTTTTACACCTGGCGAACGTTTTTTACATTGAAACTATTTAAGCTTCGAGTAATTTCGTCGCGAAGCCGTGTTGTGGTCGGTTTCCTTAAGTTCGGCGTGACCGCCCTCTCTTTATTGGTAATGACACAGAACCATCAGTAGTCATTTAGATCACCACCCAGCTTTCAGATTTAGTGTA